GGTTGCTGTACCCTGGGTGGCATTGCGGGTGGAGCATTAGCTGGGATCACGGGGGGAGCGTTAGCTGGGATCGCGGGGGGAGCATTTGCTGCCATCGTGGCGATATATTGCGCCACCGCATCAGTGGCGGCGCGAGTAGAAACTTCTGTTATCATTCGTTGGAGTGCCTCCTCGGTTATTTGAACCGTTCGAGAAGCAGGTAGAGGTGGAGCCTGTAGTGGAGGATCGGCGAGTGGTGGATCCCGAGGGGGAATCACCTGAACCTCACGTGGTGGATCCGGAGCACGTGGAGGAGGTGGCAAGCCAGAGCCTCCTCGAACTGGGAGGTTGTTAGCTGTGTCATTCTCTCTCCGAGTGGACTCAGGAGGATCTTGCTGGCTACGTGATCTGGTCTGCATTCCCACAGACGGCGCCAAAATGATGACGTAAAAAATAAATCACCTAATGTGTTGAAGCTGGGAGAGCAAAGTAGGTCACGTGCTCACGAGCTAGATAGTCCTGAGAACTTTAATTTGCTCTAGGATCCTGCGAACAGAAAACACGTAATCTAAGCCGGGGGTTGATCCGGCGGAAACCCCTCCGACGCTCAAGTCAGACGTGAAGATAGTTGGTAATTGTAGAGAGAATTCCTCAAGAAGAATTGATTGAATAATAATAACGTACCTTCATTCAATGAATTTAAGTTCTATTTATACTTTATTGATTGGGTCGAGACAATTTATCGGGCCCAACCTTATTTGGGTTTGATTGGGCCTCTGTAGAAATAATTATTAAGTTGGGCCTGTGGTCCAGTAAATGTGGGCTATTGGGCTGGGCCAATAGGCATATCAATTTGTTTTACCATCGATTTAGTATTTTTTAGGACTATTCTACAATTTAATATTTTAATAGACTACAATCGACTAATAAATCAACTATACAAACATCAAAGCCGACTTACATCCAGATTAAAATATAATTTTGCAAAAAACATAAAGAGAAGGTTACACTAATTTTCAAATAGTGGGCTTGTCTCGTGCAAATTCAAAATGGAGGGTGTTCATTAATTTTCCCTATAATTAGACAATTTTCTTGATAACGAATCAACAAAAGGATTAATGTAGGTGGAAAATAGTCAACAGTCAAGAGTCACGACTTGGTCAATTAACCTCTTGGCCTTTCTTATTCACAAAATGGTGGGACATAAATTGTACATTACGCTATTCATTATGTCAATATTAAATTGTATAGTTATTACAATTAGTTTTAACTCAATATAATTTATTTCCATACCAAAATATCATAATCTTCTCTTTTATATAAAAACATAGAATTCTATTTATGTTTATATTAATAGTATTTCGGTATAAGATATAATACCATGATAATGATATTGAGTAGCATTGCACTATCAAAATATTGCGGTATGGTATAGTAATCTACCATCATCATTCCGTTGAAAATTTTTGGTAGAAAATCGATCGTGTACGGTAGGATAGTTCGGGAAAAAATACATCCTAGATATTAGTAATGATACTAACCAAACAGCAAATAAAGTTAACTTATTCGATCTATCTCGATTTATTTTACGAATCAAATGAGACCCGAATTTATAATGTGCGAAGCCTTCATTTTTCATATACGTATATAATTACATATTTACAAGGTCTTGTATGTATTTTTGTATAATATGAGTTAAATACTCGGATACACTCCACCAATATATTTATATTCTATTCAACACTATTATTAAAAAATAAATAAATTTGTATATCTGTAAATTATTAAAAAAACAAAATGTACAAAATTAGTATTCCCAAAGCACAAACATATTCATACGAAAAACAAGGATAAATTACGGTATATCCCAGAGGTAAGGTCAAATTACGAAACCCCTCTCATGTTTGAGTAATTATAATCAACCCCTCTACTATGATTTTTTTACACGTCCGCCCTAATCGTGTCAAATTCAACAGAATCTTCTAGATCCATAGAATGTTCTCTAGTTTGTACTTGTTTTGTGAAAAAAATACAGTTTTTGATGCACCACAATCTGATATTTACAAGTCAAGAAACGCATGTTATAAATCATCTTGTTTAAAATGTGGAGTTTGAATAGGATAAATGGTATCAACTGAAGAATATTCTACTTAAGCTAGAAGATTCCACTAAATTTGAAACCACAAATGTGCACATATAAAAAAATTCATAGTTGATGGGTGACTGTAATTACCCAAACATGAGGGACCTTAACATTATCTTAGGGGTAGACGTAATTTGAAAAAAAAAACAATCAAAGCACAAACTCACATGGTAACCTTAACAGTACAAGTGAATAAAAATAATAATTAAATTCCATCAAATTTTTTTATTTTTAAAAAAATATTTAAAAGTAAATTTGATCTCTGGTTCTGTGTTTCTATGCTTTAATCGAAGTTCACGTGATGGTGGGGGCAATTTTTTTTTTGGGGTTGTTTTGTTTTGAAGTTTTAAAAATGGGGTTATTTTTGAAGTAGTAATTAAATTGGTGTTGGCCGCCACCGGGAACGGCGGCATCGGACGGAGACGCCACCGCCGGTGGCGGCACTGGGAGGAGACGCCGCCACCAGTGGCGTCTTCTACTTTTTAAATTATTATTTTAATATTTTAATATTTTAATATTTTAATATTTTTTAATATTTTATTATTTTAATATTTTAATATTTTATTATTTTAATATTTTCTTATTTTATAATATTTTTATTATTTTATTAATATTTTAATATTTTCTGATTTTTAATTTTTTTTACAAATAAAACAATTCTAACTACATTTTATTAAATTTATTACATTTTATCAATTAGATTTATTACATTTTATCAATTAGTGTTAAATTAATCAGTGCATATATTTATCTAATCAACACAAAAAAATATGTAGACAAAAACAAAAGGAGTTTCTAGAAAATAAAAGAGTTATATAAAATAAATAGGTTCAATAAAAGAGTTATAAAATAAATAGGTCCAAAATGAGTAAAAAGACAAAATGAGTACAAGAAAATAAAATTGGCACTATGAAGTCAGTGCCTATGTGAACCAGTGCCACATGCAGGTGCCCGTCTAGTCCTACGCTGCCTACCATCTCGACGAATGTCAGGATCTGCCGGTACATCATCAACAAACTTGGTGTCATCCGGTGGATATGGAACAGGGGAAACATTATACTGTGGTCGGATCCGCTCTTGGGGACTTGAGTAGTTGAGTATCCCAAATTGAGCTCCAAATGTGGACCCCATGAAGAGAACTGAGTATCAATAGCAGGAGGATGTGGGGTAGCTAGAGAGTCGGACCATGGCATATCTGGAATGTAATCATTCGTAGATAGACCAACTAAATCTGTAAATATGGGTACCTGAGATGTAGACGCACCGAATATATCCATAAATCCATGTGTAGTAGATAAATCGTCCATACCTCCATGCACAGGAACAACTGCATAAAAGGGTGTATGGGAAGCAAATGGACCGACAACATCTCCAGATGGAGGTACCCGAGATGTAGATGCATAATAATTCCCCTCTCTTGTCTGTCTCACGTCATCCTCAGTAGCTCTTTCGGTAGCGTTGGACCTTCTTCTGGTATTTATTTTATATAACTCTTTTATTTTCTAGAAACTCCTTTTGTTTTTGTCTACATATTTTTTTGTGTTGATTAGATAAATATATGCACTGATTAATTTAACACTAATTGATAAAATGTAATAAATATAATTGATAAAATGTAATAAATTTAATAAAATGTAGTTAGAATTGTTTTATTTGTAAAAAAAAATTAAAAATCAGAAAATATTAAAATATTAAAAAATAATAAAAATATTAAAAAATAAGAAAATATTAAAATAATAAAATATTAAAAAATATTAAAATAATAAAATATTAAAATATTAAAATATTAAAATAATAATTTAAAAAGTAGAAGACGCCACTGGTGGCGGCGTCTCCTCCCAGTGCCGCCACCGGCGGTGGCGTCTCCGTCCGATGCCGCCGTTCCCGGTGGCGGCCAACACCAATTTAATTACTACTTCAAAAATAACCCCATTTTAAAAACTCCAAAACAAAACAACCCCAAAAAAAAAATTGCCCCCGTGATGGTGTTTAGTACCTGCGTTGTGCTAAAAACAAGAAGAAAAAAAAACATTTTTAACCAAATACAAAATACTCAATAGTTTTTAAATTCTAATATTAATCTCATATTTAATGTTTTTATTTTAATTATCATTTAATTAATTAATAGGTTTGAAGAATATGCAAAGATTAAATGCACCACCAATCACAATTTATGAATGTGAATATATGAAGATATTAAAAATGGGAAATGGTAGAGAAATTAATTTACAATCACAGATATGGATTTCAATTTATGTCCCTTCAGTTATATACTTTAATATTCTTTGCCAAATTAATTAATTGCAATCATTTGTTTACTGTCAAGTCCTAATTAAATATATATTAAAAATGTATAATTGCATATCCAAGAAAAATAAAATTGTTTTACTAATAAATTAAAAAAAAGGGAAAATTGCAAAGACCCCCTGAGGTATGGTCAAATTACAAAAATACCCCTCTTGTTTAGATAATTACAAACACCCCCTCAACTCCTCAAATTTAAAGGAATCTTCGAGATTATATGGAATATTATCACTTTTGTACCCGTTTTATCCAATTCAATTTTTACATTATGAAGCAAGATGATCATAATATGTGATTTTTTAGCTTGTATATATCAGTTTGTGGTGCATCGAAAACTGTATTTTTACACAAAACGAGTACAAACTAGAGCACATTCCACGGAATCTAGATGATTATGTTGAATTTGGCACCATAAGGGTGGAGGTGTAAGAAAAAATCATAGTTGAGGGAGGTAGATGTAATTATCCAAACAAGAAGGGGATATTTGTAATTTGACCATACCTCAGGGGGTCTTCGTAATTTACCCAAAAAAAATTATATATAATACTTAAAAAAGTACGTAAAAAGTAAAGTTAAAAAAGAAAACCATTTAAAAGCGGGTTGCTGTCATAAAATTGTTAACTGTATTCCATTTCGGCGGCTCAGTCGACTCTCACTTTCGTGGCTCCTTCCTCTCCTTCCCCCAAATACCCCTTTCGTCTCTCTGTGGCTTTTTTACTCTTAATTATCTTCAAACTTTTTTTTTAATCGTCATCTTGTTGTTTTCTTCCAATCTCAGTTTACCTAATTATCGTTGTGTATGTTAATTTTACTGATTTGATTTTTCAATTTTTTTTTTTGTAATTATTGAAGCTAAGTAAATCACTGATTTTTCTTTTTGCTGCGGTGTCGGAACTATTTCCGTGACCTATTTTTTTTTTTATTTGTAAATTTGTAATTGGGGATAGCTTTGATCTGAAGAAGAATAGTTGCCGGAAATTATCTTTGTATGTATAAACTGTTGGAAAGAGGTCAAAATCAGTTCATTTTCCGGTGATGTGATGGCGGATAGCCGGCGCTACGCACTGAATGCTCAATTAGGTGACCTTTTTTCTCTAATTTTTTTTCAATATTATATACTGTCAATTTTGTTTTTTTTTTTTTTTTTTTTTTGTTGATTTTTTTTTTTGGTTTAATTTAAATTCGCTGGGAAAATTTGATACATGCGATTTTATCATTTTACATTTGTACGGATTTTTTATGCTGAGTTGCAGAAGATTGAGTTTCGATTATCTGAGCAGAGAAATGTGGTTATTGATTGTCGTAAAAATTTACTTTCGTCTTGTCTTCGTATGTTTATTATACCCACGCAAACATGAACCCTAACCCCCTTTCATTTAGTTCATTCGAATACTCATGATGTAAAGTGATTGGTTTAGGGATTTTGCTGGGTGTGTCAAATTATTGACATTTTTTCATATATCTTACGAGTTTAACATAAAATCAGTTTTTCGATTATAGGCATCATTAGTTGCTTCCACTCGCCAAACACTACTTCGCTTTTCTTTTCGTTCCTCACTATAAATTTCTTGGAGAGTAATTGCAATGTTATATATAATATAAATCATAGTCAATCTATCCAATATTATTAGAGGTTTTATTATGCATGTGTTTATGAAGTACACACCATACAAGAAAGTGAAAAGAATTAACGAACGTCTATGTCAGCTTAGACAAGACAATGAATATTCTAGAATCCGGAGACAAAGATATTTAGGAACTATCTCAGCCAAATAGTATCCGAGACATTTGTTTTGAATTTGAGTTCCCTTATTATTAATCCTTTTAAAGATCCCGTTATATTGGCTCAAAGTCTCGTCAAAGTCCCGGTAAATAATAGATAAAGTAGAGTTAAGTGGTGTCATCATTCTTTTAGTTGTTGTTTCGCTTACAACTGATATTTCAAGATTCATGCACTGAATTGCTATTTTATTGCAGATATCGAACAGATACTTTTGGAAGCACAACATCGGTGGCTGCGTCCTGCTGAAATTTGTGAAATTCTTCAGAATTATAAAAAATTTCGCATTGCTCCGGAACCTCCTAGTAGACCCCCAAGTACGATTTCTTTCAAGTCTTTTCTTCTTATAGCAAACAGTTTAAAATAATTTATATTGGCAATGAATAACTCTTCTTAATGGATTAATGGAACTAATAAGTTTTCCGATTGGGCAGAGAATAAAATAATAATGGGCATTTGGAAGAACTTTTACTCTTTATTAGTACATTGAGATTCAGAATCTCGTTTCTATTTTTGTCTTTCTTATGCTCAGTTCCGATATATTCTGCTTCGACTAATCTCCTATCCTTCTCGACCAGATGGTTCTCTATTTCTTTTTGACCGGAAGGTGCTGCGGTATTTCCGGAAAGACGGCCATAACTGGCGAAAGAAGAAAGACGGAAAGACGGTGAAGGAAGCTCACGAAAGGCTCAAGGTAAGTGTGCTTACAGATCTCACTCCGTCCCGATAATATTTTGCTTTGCTAGTTCGGGTATGGATAACTCGAGTTGCGGTTTCTGTTGCACTCTTGAAAGGTGTAACGATACTTCGTAAATGACGTATCTCGTCCGTTTCAGGCTGGAAGCATTGATGTACTGCATTGCTATTACGCCCATGGAGAAGATAACGAAAATTTTCAAAGACGCAGCTACTGGATGCTTGAAGAGTAAGCTTATTAAAATATACTCGAAATTTTTGTCCGAGAAAAACATGAAAATGATGCAATAGCATTTTTATTGATTTTTCTTTTCCGTTCAGCTTTTTTCCTCGGCAGATTCTGATTTCTTTTTCGTTTTTGTTGGCTATTCCTGATTCAGGGAGCTATCGCATATAGTTC